GGCAGAAGAATTACAGCTAATTAATAAACATTTTTCTGCAATTAGACAAACTAAAATTATTGCAAAAAGTGTTACAGTAATCGTGCTTCCTTTCAAGTTTGTTATGATTTAGACTGAGTTTCATATTTTGTTTTGTAACATAATCACATTATCGCAGTAGAATAACTTTATGAACTTATATCACAGAACTACTGGTTATTCCAGATCAGGGCGAACATATGATTATACCAGGCCAACAGAATCTTCAAGATCAGCCGTCAATCCTTCAAGTTATTCTGCTCAACCGAGTGCAGTCAGTACTGGAAGCTCGAGCACTGTAAGGTATGGAACACTCAATGATCTCAAAGCACTTCTACAGAAGAAGTCGATATGATCGATGTGTAAATAGTGTTAATTGGTGGTTTTCAATGCAACGAACCAATGAAAACACACAAAAAAGTACATGTAACCCTGGTTACCCATGTCGCCAAGCGCGGGAAGACGCGTGCGACCAAGTCGCGATTGATTTTGGTCTTTGCATCTGATTGGTTGAGTTGGCAACGGGATGTTTTCTTAAATCAATCAGACAGGATAGAACTGCAAGCCAGCTCAGTTGTGAATTTAGTACTTTTCACATATACAGTTAAAAACGTTTTAGTTGAACATTTGAAATTAAGACTTGAAAGCCAGTTGGTACTTAACTACTTGACAGAAGAACTTGAGTTTATCAAACGTTTTAAGTTTTGGGCGTTAATATATTAATTTGCTTCAACGAATCTTTATTCTACGTGCACGGTGAAATTTTTCAGATTTACCTGCATGACAAAATAGTGTATTCAGGGAAGAAAAAAGGTAAAGTCTGCATACGAGGCTGGTGAACCATCAGGCCGGCTCTTATCTCCGGTTTTTGTAGTATGAAGCGACTAGGAGTATTTCTGCTTCCCCCTGGATGAGATGCTGGTCCATCGCAGGTTTTCCACACAGCATTAAATTCGCTGGAACCCATTTATACACCTGGGTGAAGAGCGTCACTGTGAGAGTAAAATGTCTTGCCCAAGAACACAACACAACGTCCCAGCGGGTCTGGGTCGTCTTAAACCCGAACCGCTTGATCCGGAGGCGAACGCGAGCACCAACTACGACGCCACTGCGCCACCACAGTCAGGAAGAGTTTTCGACAAAAACACAGAGGTTGGCGAGACGGCCCATGAAAACTCGACTCGCCTATGAATCAGGATAAGGGCGAATGCACGGGAACTGAAACTCCTCTTTTAAGACACCGAGGTGTAAAAATTCACCCGGCCAGACCACGAATAAACAAAAAAGAGCTCGATTAATTTTAAATAGCATGTAGTTATCCCTCACTCACCAAACACTAATTGTAATATCAATCACATTCAGGTCTTCGGGTTATTCCGGATCAGGGCGAACATCAGACTACAGCAGACCGACTGAGTCCTCAAGACTAGCTGTTCCTTCTTCGTACAGCTCAAGTTACTCTTCTCCAAGTGCAGTGACTGAAAGTTCCACCCGTCCAAGCGTGACATTCTGTGCTACTGGTTCAGAGCGCTCTGGAAGTACTTCAGCAGAAAGTCCAGGGTATTGTTTTGAACGGAATATTAACCTAACATTCATGCTAAAACGTAAATTGTTGAAATTCCTCCTTGCACGATTCATGTATGTCAGTCACAGGTGGCAGAAAAGTTAAAGCTGGTTAACGAGAAATAATACAGAGAAAATAATAAACTAAGCTAAAAAAGTGTACCGCGCTTCTTTTCTTATCATTTGGATTGAATTTCAGATTTCGTTTTGTTACATTATAATAGCCATTATCGTAACAGAACAATTGTATGAACTTATGTTTTATTTCAGAGCTTCCAGTTATTTTAGAACAGGACGAACATTAGATTATACCAGGCCAACAGAATCTTCAAGATCAGCCGGCAATCCTTCAAGCTATTCTGCTCAACCGAGTGCAGCCAGTACTGGAAACTCTGTAAGGTATGGAACATCTCAAAAAGCACTTACAGTTCACTAATTATAAAGTACAAATAAAATAGAAGACGATATGATCGTTGTGTGAACGAATAAGAACACTGAAGTAAATACATCCTGGCCCTGATCCTGGTAACCCGCGGCGCAAAACGCGGGAAGACGTGTGCAACCAAGTCACGATTGGTTTTGGTCTGTATATGTGATTGGTTGCGATGATGGCGGAACTTTTTTCTGAAACCAATCAGAAAGCGTTGCAAGACAGAGCAATTCTGAATTTAGTACTTTCCACACGTATAGTAGGTAAAACTTTTGATTGAACATTTGAGAGACTTGAAAGCCAGTTGTTTATTCCACATGTACGGTGAAATTTTACAAATTTACCTGTATGACAAATACGGCATGAAGAAGTCAGGGAAGAGTTTAAGACAAAAACACACAGGCAGGCCGCGAAACCTCCCATGAAAGATCGGCTCGTCTGTGAATCACGACGAAAGCTAATGCGTGGGAACTGAAATTCCTCCTTAAGACACCGACGAGTAAAATTTACCTAGGCCGTGAATAAACAAAAAAAGAGCCCAATTAATTTCAAGGACTTCAAGTGGCTTGAAGTTATCCCTCCCTTAACAACTTTTTAATTGTAGTAAATCAAATCACATGCAGGGCTTCGAATTATGCTGGATCAGGAAGACCATCAGACTACAACAAGCCGACTGCGTCCACAAGGCCAGCTGTTGTTTCTTCTTCATACAGCTCAAGTTACTCTTCTCCAAGTGCAGCGACTGAAAGATCCACCCGTCCAAGCGGGACATTCTGTGCTACTGGTTCAGAGCGCTCTGGAAGTACTTCAGCAGAAAGTCCAGGGTATTGTTTTGAACGCAATATAAGCAAAACATTCATGCTAGAACGTAGACTGTAGGAATATAAAGCCCCATTGCACGATTTATTGTATGTGAGTCACCGCCAAAAAAGTTAAAGCTGGTTAATTAACGAGAAACAATTCAAAGAAAACAA